AGGTGAGGCAGTTACAGTGCACTTAGTGATACTGTGGGAATAAATAGTGTTGGTAAAGAGCTAAAATTCTCCTAGATAAGAATTTTCAGGAGATGTAATCCATGAAAACACATTTTAATTCATTTCAGCCATCTCTAAATTTTTAGTGAAAGTTGATGGGCTCTGAGGCAGCATGGAAGGGAACCCAAGACATCTTCGTTCTTCTGTATGGATATCCTGTTTTTTACACATTATACTGCTAAAACTACTAATCAGGCTTTTGTCTCTTCCCAACATAATGACACACATAGGAACAGGTCCAATTGGTATAGGAAAAGGGTTGAAACATCTGATTTAGGAGAATAAATGTTGACCACAGAGGCTTCATTTGCTCTTCTAGACAGTTCTTCAAAGCAAGCACACTGACTTGCTCAGATTTCTCATCTGTTCTTACAACTCCTTTGTTTAATTTAATCCTGGGGACATTGCTTTCTGTCCAACAGAGAACAGCTCCTCACCTTCCTAACCTCCAGCTATTCTTTCCTGACATAAATACTGGAGCATGAAGAGAAGAAAGTCTTTGCCCTTGAGAGTGTTTGCTCCTAGGCTGCCTTTGCCCCTCACTGCTTCATGTAAATCTAACTACATCTGAAGCTCCAGCTATATTTATAATTAAATGAAGGGATGTGACAGTAAAGAAAAATTGTGCTTTTTTTTTTTTTTTTTTTTAACATGATTTGTTTATAACTTAACATGGCACTTAATAAAAAAGCTGTATAAATCAGCTGATGTAAATAATCATTCCTTTATCAGGAAATTACATATGCCAAGTATTGGTTAGTGGAATGAGTCTTAATGAAATTCAGTCAAAAGCTGCAAATCTGAGAATGAACAGAGGCCTCTTAATAGAAGAAGGTTCTATTTATCCTGTAAGGTTCAGAGATTCAAACAATAAATAGTGATTTAATAGACTTTAAGTCAATCAAGATGATACAATAGTGTTAATTAGGCTTTTGTGTCTAATTCACAACTAGTTCTGTTGTCTACTTATTTATGTTCTAAAGTGGCCCTGATGAAATTTTTAATATTTCACCTAAGCTGAGGATTCATTTTTACGCTGGCTGGTAATTTTCTCGTATATAGCTTGAAATTGTACTCTAGATAATTTTGCATAGTAGTATATCTATGTGTCAGGATCATTGGCTGCTGTGTTGAATGGCTCTTCAGAGCTGACAACTGGATAATAGCTTTACTTTCAGCCAGCAGAGGAAGTCAAGAGCAAAAGTGTAGAGATAATGTGAATATAATTCATTATTCAAATATGCAAGTGATGAACTGAAAACAAAGAGGGAAGAGTAATAATGGTGTCATTATTTTTATTACTCTTGTTTTGCAAACGTAGCATGAAACATTAAAGTAGATCTTTGAGGGACTCTCAACTGTGCAGCGACAAATTTACTTTCTTAGCAATATTGATAAAAGAAAAGTAAAGCAGACAGGTTTTTGCAGAAGGTATGCTGCACTGTTAGTTGTACTATTAAATATTTTCTTGCTGCCTTTTTCTCTTTAAAATCCACATCATTACTTACTGCTTAGAAACCTGATCAGTGACTGGAAGAAAGTGCATTGTTGTTCTTGTGGCTCTTTTTACTTAAGACAATCTTCAAAGCTTTTAAAGCTTTGTAGCATGACTAACAAAGGCCAAATAGGCAGGTTATGTAAAGCTTTCCTTGAAAACAAGGAATTTGCATGTGATAGCAAAACTGTCTCCATGAAAGCACAGATACAGGTTTCAGTGGAGTAAGAAGCCAAAGAGCATCACTTTGATAACTGAAGTGTTTTTCTCTGCTACTTAACCTTCTTAAACTTTCATAGCATCTGCTTTACTTTTCCAATATGTATGTGGGAGTTAATTAAAAAAATCTTTTGTGCATTGTAATTTTTGAGTGTTTGTACAGTAACAAAGAGGTATTTTTGGAAGTAAAATGGAAGATGCTTTCTGCTCTGTTTACAGCAAGGGCAAGAATGTCCCCTGCAAACATCATGTCCTTTTTGCAAGGGGCAGCATGGCAAACACCCTTTTCTCCTGGCAGCCTTTGTGCTAGAGAAAAAGAAATAAAGTAGGATGGGAGCATGGACATCACATGAAGAAGGAATGGAGAGCAAGGCTGCACATCTGGAAGGGCACAGGTACAGGCTATGGCACTCCCTATCTCAGTTTAAAATCTCTTTGTAGCTGCTTATGCCTTCTGAAAGCCCTGTGGATTATTTTTATAGTAACTGCAATGTGTGCCTTAGTTGTTTATCATACTGCAATAGAGTGTATGGCACACAAGAAAACTGTCCAGACCTTACTGCAGATTTTGCATGCAGCTGTTATGGTGCTGTAACAGGCTTTCTGGCAGAGCTGGATTAAGTGCTATTCTGGAAGCATATGATTTGTGATAAGGAAGAAGGGTTGTTTCAGCATTAACCTTGCATTTCTAAAAGTTTGAAGGCAAGGCTGCCAAATCCTGGGAAGAAGCAAGTATCGTTTATCCAAATGCACAAATGGGAGACTGAGACACGGAAGAATTACAGATTGTGCTCAAGGTGAAAGCAGCAGCTTCTGGGGGAGACCATTCCCTACTGCCAATCCCATGTCATTTCCCTGAGACTGTCTTTTTCAGCTTCACAATGAATTTTTTTGCCTACTTAGCTAACAATCTATTGAAAACTAGTATTCAATTCTAAACAACTTATCATTTTCTTTGTATATGAATGAAGACATGAAATGCTATAATGACCAGTCACTTTATAACTAGTGACTTTATATATTATATAATATATATATTATATATACATTTATAACTATAATGACCACTCATTACTTTATAACTAGTAAAATATTACTAATTATAAGTATGCAAGCCTCAGAGGTTAATATTTTAATTGCTGATGGATCTGATTCTCTTCTGGCTTACATTAGAAGCGCAGGTAAACCCCACTGTTTTCTTATTTACATCAGCTTAATCTGTTGGAGAGTTGAAATTTAACTCCATTCATTATTATTTTTATTTTTCTTATCTTTACCTGATTTTACTTCTGCATCTTATGCCCAAACTTAAAGCAACATTTCTACCTCAGTCGTTGATACAGAGACCTGCTCACAAGCCTACATCCAAAGGGTTATTAGAGCTCTCCAGAGATGCAGTTTGGAAAAAGTCTGTATGAGGAAAGGACAAAGGCTGCAATTGTGAATTGTGAGTTTCAAGGGCAGCTCATTCCATTGCTTTTACAACCTTGAAAGAGTCACTTAGATCCTGATTCAGAAAACGATTTAAGCGTGTGCTCAACTTCACTGGGGCAGAAGCCTGTGCTTGCAGAAGCATGTGTTTAAGCACTGTCTTGAAAAAAAATATGGTTTCCTGTATCAGAGCTTTTAATCTCTCCATTCTCCAGTTCTCCATCTGTTAAAAAGAATTAACAGGTGGCAGAAAGGAAATGTTGTTATCTGTCTTCTGTTAGCTCTTTACGGCCTCTGACTGTGAGTGTGTAGAGCCACTACCCTAGTGAGCCCTCAGCCTCTTTTGGAGCAACTGTGTCATTCTGTAATGGGAACAAATAACTTATTCTGTTAGTCAACAAAAATATTATGAAATGCTGAGCTGCCTGGGAGAAGGAGTTTGAAGAACTGGGAAGGACTGCTGTTCTTTCTAGCAGAAACTAAGCATGGAGAAGACCCTGTGCATTGCATTTTAGTAGCAGAAATTCAGTGATTTCACTGTTCTCCCAGATCTGAATGGTTATTGGTGATGTAGAAGTCACACAGACAATACTCTTGTTGGACCACGTCAGAAAAGAGTGGGAAGACTGAAGACAGCAGCCAATGTTGCCTAATTCAACACACTCCGTTCAGCAAATATCAAAGTAGAGGAGAGTTGACCTAAAGAGAGCAGTTGCTTTGAGATCCTAGGTCTGAGAATGGTAATCTGGAGTTTGAGAAAGTTGGCCTGAGATGCAGAAGTGAAAACAGCCAAGTTTGTGGTCCTTTACTTTATCCCTCCATCCTTGATCAAGCCAAACACAGAAAAGGGTCATATTTGGATGCCACTCCCATGCTGGGCTCTCTGGCATGGAAAAACTCACAGTGCAAATCTTCTTTATTATTACTATTATTGTTATTAGTTATTTGCATTGTGCTATGAGGATCCCATATGCAATACAAGTAGAGTAAAAAAAATGTCTTGCTGTATGTAGTTATAATCTAATTAGATGAAACAATTAAAAATGGGGAAAAGATATAAAAGTATTAACAAAGGGATAATTAACCAACATCTCATTAGCTCCAATATTTTTCCTTTTGTTTGGCTCTTGGAAATGTCTTCCTTCCTTATTTCTTAAATAATTTATTTTTAAATTAGCAAAATCATTTCAATTTTCACTTTGGCTCTGTGAAAACTGGAGAAACAGCCTCTTATTAGAAATGTATTAATTAACATGATAATAAATATGATTTTACTTCATGGATAAAGGCGGCCCTCTTTTCTAAAAGAGTGAGAAAGACGTCAAACACTGCTTCGCATGCTGAGGAACAGTGGAATTGATCAAAGCCAGACCCAGGCCATCCCAGGGCCTTGCTGGGAAGCTGTCCATCCCACCAAAGTCAGTTTTCCTTTCCGTGACATTTCTTGCAGCCCAGAGTCACTAGCTGGGTAATTCTGAGGGCTGCAGTTCATTATTTTGCCTACGAGCTGCCCCTTTGGAGCCCTGTGTGCTGCAGCTGCCTGCCTTCCAGCATGCAAACCAGGCAATTAAAGGGAGCTCGGGTATGTCTACAAAAGCTAAAGTCAAAACTCTGACTGAAGGTTCACATAGTTAGCCTAGCCTGTGCTTAACACCGTGTTATTTATTCCCATGCTTTTCACGGTCAGCTTGGTTGTTTATCTGGTTGTTTTACTCACTGTTTTCTTGGGAAATTCCTGCTCCTCTGAAGGTCACTTGGGGTTCTGACAAGAGACACAGCACAGGTGGAGCCTCAGCCCCTCTCCAGTCCTATGTAAGCCCTTCTTTGCTGATATGGAAGGCAGAAATGACAAAATGCAGAAGGAGAGGTATAAGCAGTGGGTGTTCCTGAGTCCAACAAGCCCTACGAAGCTGTGCATTGCCAAACACTTGCCCTCTCTCTGCTGGATTCTTGACTAACTTCTGCACAGGAGTGGTAAGAAAAGTAAAGAGGGGGAGAGTGTGATATGTGAGTTATTTTCACAAGTTAGGGATGACCCCATAACTCATAAGTGGTGGAGCGGAGCCTGCAGAAAGGAATTTCAGTCCACCACTGACTGTGCTCATTTAATTTATTGCTTGATGCGTATTTCTCATCATCAGTGATGAGAAAGCTGGTTTTCTGTTTGAAGCTGATGCTTTCACTTGCTTGTTCCCAGGGAAGAGGCAGTCTCCTTCCCCCTTTTTCCCATGAGTGCAAGATATGTCTTTGGGTAACGTGTTTTCAGGTGAGCTCTATGTGTGCTGCGTCGTCAGCTCCATGCAGCATCATAGATAAACTTCTCAGTGATAAAGCAAATTGACAGGAATGTGTGCGACATGGCATCTGACTATCAGATGTTAGAGGAATGCAGAAGACATACCATCGTGAGGCATATAATTCAGTATGTGTGTGTGTGTCTGTATATATAGAACTAACAATTTATATTCTAATCATCACAATGCAATCACACTGCGAGTGCATTTTTGTTATTAATACTTACTCTTTGATGCATAAACAATCCCATTTGAAATTCCTGGTACCAACTGTGCTAATCTTTCACTGGAAAAACTTATTTGCAGAGGAGGAAGAATGAAAGGTAGGTAAGCGAAATGTATTTCAGCTGTTCAAAGTAACTGCAAAACTATCAGCATTAATGGTAAAAATATTTAATGAGTATTGCACCAGGCAGCAACAAAAGTAGTGAGATACAGAATTGCATTTGTTCTGTCACAGACATGACTGACATTTAATTATTGTCTATTTTTGTGCTGATAATCTCATTCTTATCTTTTGTTGTTAAATCCTTTAGAACCCCAAGAAAAATGAGATCAAGTGACAAAAATAAGATAATGAAAATTATATCTGGTAGGTAAGAGATGATTCAGGAGAGTAGGTTATTTTATGGGGGTGTATAAGCTCTATAAGTGATTGTGAATTAAATGTGTTGAGCTCACAGAAAATCTTTGGAAAAGAATGCCTGCTTGCAAGCTTAGCTGACTTCTTGGTTTCCATTGTGCAGTGCATGCCATATACAGTGATATAAGCTGTCTAAAAACCTCAAAAGGTGGTCAACCCAAGTCTTGCTGGGAAAAAAATGTATCCAGCACGTTTCTCTTTTGCCAGTTTGTTCCCTTTGTGCTGTTGTGAAGCTTTTTGAAACTAGTTTGTCGCAGTGACTGTAAAATCAGGACCTATTTTTATCATTCTTAGCTTTCAGCCATGAGAAATCTTCCCAGTCTTTTGCCAAAAACTATATTGACTGCACAACCCTATCCAAGCTTTTGAGTTGCTGTATATGTCTGTTTGCAATATGTAACAGGAAAACGCTTGTAGCTGAAGTTTTAAATGAGATAGGAATTCTGTTGCAAAAATTAGATCACTTGTTATCAGAACAATGAGCTCTGCTAAGGGAAAGTCAAAACACCATTTATTGGTCTTTTCCCAGATAACCTGTTAAATTTGATGAAAAATGACTTTGCAAGTTATATGGTGGTGAAAACAACAACAAGAGTTTAATTTTCTTTCCTGCCAACCTCTGAATGATGTAGTGGAAATCTGGAACGTGCATGCTAAGGAAAAATGCTGACAAACAAAAGTGCCTAACTTATAAGCGTGCTAATTTCATAGAATAGGAATATGACTTATCTGAGCAAGCCTGGGATGACCACTTCAGAGTCTGTGCTTCTGCCAGCATTTCTGCCAGCTATTGCACATGTGGGCTTTTTAAGTATTTGATGACAAAAATGTAACCAGTGCATAAACTTGGGAAGCTCTTTTCCCTCCTGTTGTAGGGATGTCTGAAATCTCATGAAGCAACTCTGAACTGGGAAATGGAGTTTATTCCCAATTCCATTACCCCCTGTCCATATAACTACAAGCATAGGTCTTGAATATTCTGTCCAATAGTTTCTGATTTGGAAAATGATATCCATCACAGTGATAAAGTGTTTTGCAGATCCTGGATGAAAAATGGTGTGTGCATTCAAACAGCTGTTGTCTCTAGAACTTGTTTTTGAAGTATCATCAAGATACCTCTACTTGTACTAGAGGTGATTATTTACTGTGAAAGGTAGATGTCACCAGCTATCAGACACACTGTATTTTCCATATCTTCCTGTAGCTTCTTCCATAATTAGAATTGTTCATTTTATGAAAATCAGTGCCATAGAATCACAGTATCTTTAAGTTGGAAAAGATCTCTAAAATCATCTAGTCCAACCATCGCTCCCCTCCTCCCCCCACCATGCCACTGAACACATCCCTCAGTGCCACATCTCCATGGTTCTTGAACACCTCCAGGGATGGTGATTCCACCACCTCTCTGGGCAGCTGTGCTGCTGTGTCACCACTCTTTCACAGAATGCTTTTTTCCTAATAACCAATCTGAACCTTCCCTGGCACAACTGAAGGCCATCACCTCTCATTCTAAACTTTATTTCTAGAAAGAGTAACGAGAGCTGAATCTGTTAGCTGCTCTTCAGAAGGTGAATATGCAACATTTGAGGAATTCCCTTCACTTTCTTTTCTAGCTCTCCTAGATAGATAGCCTTCCTTGTATGGGGACTCCTGTGATACACTGCAGATCTCCTTTCTCTCCTTCACAATGGGCACCAGGCAGGGTTCTGGTATGTGTGGTCAGTCTGCACCAGGCAGTCAAGAGCTTCTAGATGAAATGCTTAAAACTTTTTTGAGGCACGCAAAGCTTCATATAAATAGATAGATTTGGACTAGTATAAATGTTCATTATCAACATACCACCATCAGGCAATATTTAGAGATGTGATTTGGTAATCTATTAATATTTGTATGTTTACAAGTGCTAATATAACCTACATCAGCTGTGGTCTTGACAGAAGCTTGTTCCACTTTGCCATTTCCACATACAAAGGTCTAAATCTGAAAATTTGCATCCTTGATTTGGTGCACCAGAGTCCCCCTGAAGAATTTCTAGCTTTCTGACTTGAAAATGGCAAAGAATAGCATTTAAGTTGTGTCTTGGTCTTATGCTTCTTTAGGTTGAGTTTCTTCTATCAGCCTTTCTGTTAGTGATAGAGAGAATTTAATCTGCCTCCTTGCTGCCTGACAAATCTAAGTAAGCAGTTGGGCCTGTTTGTATCTTCTGCTACATTTGTATTTATACATTACACTGTGTATCATTCCTGGTAGGAGAGAGGGGAATCAAACCTTTTAGTTTGATTACACTCACTAGATGGAAACCTTCTTGAAAAATACGGAGACTACAACTGCAGTTTTAAAATAATTCACGTATTTTCATCTACAGTGTTACTAACCTTCATTGCAGCCCTGGACTGAATTAATAATGTTCTTTTCAAAATTCAGTGCAAACAGCAGCTGCAACAGTTGCTAACTGATTTGGGAATCTTTGAACATCCAGCTTCAGGCTGCAAAGTCACTGATAAGATTCAGAAGAAACAATCAGTGCTTGGTGAAAAAAGTGTTGTCCTGTTGTTATACAGACCTTTTTGCAGGGGCAAAAGAGTGATGTATAAACACTGTCAATCTAAATTCATATGTTAAAAAAAAAAAAAAAAAAAAAAGAAGAAAAATTGTACCCATTTAGATCATGACTTGGATCTAGAATCTATTGACCTTGCATGATACCCCCAGTAATCTTTCTCTTGATACCAGTGCCCTTTGAAGCTGTTATTTGACCAGTATCAAAGCAAGTATTCTTATATTATTTATACTGAATGGTTGATTGTGAATTTCAGTCCTTAAGATAAAATCTTAAATCTGTATTCTGTTCATAGTGGGGGGATAATGATTATAGTGCATAGATGCAGTCAAAACAATTTCCCAAAGATTATATGCTCATTTGGAAAAGCAGAGTCTGTCACAGACCATCTGCAGATAGTAAAGTGTCATGAAGACAGATTTAATGGCTTGGTGGTTGTTCCCAGGGAGCTCCTTCTTCACAGAAATGGTAGCATGAGAAAAAGTGCTCAGATAATTGCTGGAAGACTGAAGAATGAACATTTGTACCAGGATCAGAGCACTGGCAGAAGCAGATGTTTCAGAGCAGGAGAGGTGACGACTGGGCTGCAGGACTTGGCCAGAGAAGAGGGCACGTTATTCAGCAGTCATCAGAGCCGAAGGGACTGAATTTGCTTTACTAGACATCAGTGCAAAAAATGAGCCACGACGATGGGTTACAGCTTGCTCTTGTGAGAATCTTTGACACATATGGTTCCCTACAACAAGCTATTTCTGCTTGTTGTAACACAGAAGTGGGGAAAGATTAATGGAAGCAAGCAGTTTAAATATTTCCCAATATCTAGATAAAGGCTGCAGACAAAAACCTGTATCATGCATCTCTGCATCTTCAGTCTCACAGATGATGACACAGTGGCTTGGCAGGCAACTCTCAGGCTGCATTTTTGCTTCAGATGCTGGAAAACACCCATTGCCTAGGTCCAAAGCTGGTCCTAAGTCCAGTGACCACTGTCCATTTCATCTGCTGGTATTCTTTCCCTCTTTCTCAATACCCTCTGTAGCTGGCATCTCAGTAATGCTGCTTTTCTCAGCTTGTTCTGTTGAACATTCTTGGATTATACTTCTAAGCATTATACATGTGGCCTAACCAGTAAGCCAGGTAAGCCATGGCTTGGGGAAGAGCCGTGACAACTGGCAAAATAAAGAGAAAAGGAATATCTCACAGGATGTTACATGGCTGCCTTTTTTTTTTTAACAGTGCTCCCATCGTTTTACATTTATGTTTTATTTACATAGCTCTTATTTGAGCTTAGCACAACGAGGGAGTCTCTGGAGTTTGGTTGGAGCCATAATGATATGCACAAAGAAAGAAAAAAAATCAATGTACGCTCCTCACTACTTACTCTTATAGTAGCTGTTATAGAAGCAGAGAGCTTTGCACTGTCAGGCAGCTAAGTTCAGCCTCAGGGGGAGCAGAAAGCAGCATTTGAAAGCACAGG